TGTGCATCAAAATACAAATCTGCCTACAAAATATGACCAGCATCCTACAAAAAAGGAACTTTGGACAACCCTTTTGTAAGAGATGTATTAAAGTCTCTTTAAAGCCACACCTGCCTATTCCTTCTTCTATTGAAAACTTGTCCTGCAATCAAGCACCAATTCTCAGATCATTGAATTCAAAAACTAATGGCTCCATCTGCTTATTTTCAGGGTTTTTAAGTGCATAAAAGTAGAAAAAACGCTTCACAGGAGAGCCTGTGATTATGTCTCCTGTTCAAGACATTTTCTCTCCACCTATCTTGAGGAAATGGTGTGTGGGAATTTATTATTTATTTGTTGGAATGATCCAAAAATGAGTTCCCTAACTGCTGAACAAAGCATTTATGATGATCACCTAGGATTACTCCCCATGTTAAACAGGGCCTAGAATTCCACTAGCACAGGAAATTCTGAAATGATCACGGAAACGAAATTCTAGATATTTTGACAGTTGCCCAAATAGAAGACTTAAGGAATCATTATTTTCTACAGCTTTGCAGAAAGCACAAGGGCTGCCTGAGAGACCAACTGAGCCGTTTGGCAGAAAGCAACTGAAATTTGGCTCACTTATAAAAGGATGGTTAGCCTGAAGCAACACTGATCGCTACTTCCATTTGCCAGCTAATTTAAAGGCTGCAATAAGTAGTGCCACAGCGCCAGTAGGAAGTAAAACAAGAAATAATGGGACAGGCTTGCAGCTAATAACATAACAACATCTTTGCTGTGAGGGGTATTGTTGGCACCTGCTGAATCATGAATGACCGTGCCGAATAACACAGCCAAACCCTGAGAAGGTTAAGTGCAACAACTCATTACGGAATTCCAGTTTATAATTTTAAAAAGTTAAAATAGTCTGTCTTGCTCCGCAAAATTAAGTTTTGTGTTTATAGTCTCAGTATGTTCCAGGTACAGATGTTCCCATTCTTTCAGAGCATGAAAACCACACGGTTAAAAACTGTTTCTATAGCTAGATCTGGGGGAATGGCTTTATTAGTAAACAACTAGCATTTGGAAAGTTTCTGTTCCTAAAAGCAGGGTTTGTTGTCTATAATCATCTTGTTACAGAGCCACAGATATAGTCTTGCAACCAAAATGCCAAGAATCTGGCTTCACTTCCAAATGCATGCCCCTGCATTATGCGTCGTTCTGGGGGTTGTCTTAATCTTTTCACCTGAACAATGTTGGTCCTTGTCAATGCAGCTGAAGACAGTCTAAAGAAAAGCCAAGCAAATGCTCCATATCCTGAGACTTCAAATCCCCTGTTAATAAAGTATCGCCCTGACCCTACAGACCGCTTGTCAGATTCCACATGAAGCTACTGGAGCTGAATCATTTAGTGTGCAGAAATCCTGCATGGTATCACCAGAAAGAAACAATCAAAAACTCTATGTGGCTTGGAATTTCACTGTCTTTCCTCACAAAGGAGTTCATCAAAAAGGCCAGAAAAGAGGACTAGCCAAAAAAAAAAAAAAGCTAGTGGCCTTGGGAATGTGAATCCTCCTTTGCCCCACCTCATGGCTTCCAGCACCTGTATCCAAAAGAAGAAGAAAAAAAAACTGGGGGAAAAAAGGCCTGTCTAGAGAAATTGCTCTCTTGCCCCGTCATTTCAATAAAGCTCATCGGACTCCAGAATGGATCCAAGAATGCTCTGGCATCAGGAACGTTCTAGAAATACTCTGGAATTAGTTCAAGTTTAGAAGCATTGATGAGCTTGTTTTTGTTTTATGTCTAGAAGCCTGGATTTTCAAGGTTTCTAGAACTTGATTCTTTATTCTCTGCTGTGGATTAATTATTTCTAGAATGAGATATAGAATAACTGTAGGAACAACCATCCCCATCCAGGTTTTACTGTGCCCCCATGTCAACAAGGCACATAAACTAGAGCCTGGAATTTCACTAGCAGGTTCTTTTCCTGTGTCAGCCCTATAAGGTAGACCAGACTAAGAAAACAGTCCCATGTAGTTCAGGACTACATTTTATTGTAACAGCTATAGTAAAAGAACCTTGCAGGTCTGAATGTGCTTTCCCCTCCCTCAATTTATCTTTGTATGAACTGGGAGTGGGCTTGTCCGAGATGTTTTCTCACATTGGGTTCTCATCTCACTGCCTTGAGTTCAAGCCCCTCTTTTCTGACCACTACCTTGGTAGCAACTCTTCCTCCTGTCCTTCACGGCCATTCCCTCTGCCCTCTACAGCCTAGACCTTCCCTGGAATGTTTCATCTTTCACATTAATATGAAGCCAGGGGAAGCTTTATGATATAAATGAGAATTTGGTAAATAGAAGATAACCTAAAATGTTGGCTTGGATCCTAAATTTGCAAAGGAAGCTTTCCTGCTCCTTTCTTCCAACTGTTGCCCTCAAGATCTATCCTTTGTTTTCACAATTGCCCTCATCTTTCACTGAGAATTTTGGGAGAATGCAGGTTATTTCAAAAATGCAGAAGGTGTGAAGCATTTATCATAGTATATTTTTCTTAGATTCAAGCCAAATACAATCTGTACTTTACACTGTTATAAGATTAACTGAGCATTTCTTTGTGGCTGAAATAAATTACAGCCTTAGAGTAGTCTGTGTTTTTAACTTTTTAAAAATAGTATTAAAGTATTGAAGTTATCCACATTTCCACTTCTGTGTGTTACACTAAAGATCTTTTGTATTTATTTATATGTATTTCATTTACTCAGATTTATATGCTGCTCCAGTTAGGAAACTCTGAACTGTTTAAGATTTAAAGCACAAAGAGCAAATAGCAAAGAACAGCAAACAGCCCCCCAAACATATTTTTCTAAACAATAAAATTTCATCTTGGGGGCTGTCCAACATTCTAGTTTTTCCTCAAATGACCCCCTAGAAAAGGCAAGTCTTCAAGGCTCTTCAGGAAGTCAACATGGAAGTGGTAGCTCCTATATTGGGGTGGGGGCTGCTATTCCAAAGAAGAGGACCATCACAAGTTTCTGAAGGTGGCATTCTGTTGGGAGACGCACCCTTAATGTGGCACTCTTACAGATGGGCAGATTCTACTCCAAGCCAGTGACCTTTTGAGATACCCAAGCCCAGACTTTAAAGATAACAACCAGAACCCTAGCTGCAGCTGGGACCCACATGGAAGCCAATACAGCTAAGTAGAGATGTCACATAGGTCTGCCTCAGTGCGCCCCAACTACCGGGTCATCATATGCTGAGCCAGCAACTTCTGAATGGTCTTCAATGGCAGTCCCATGTAGTTGCAATAATTAAAACAGATTCCCAACTGGTTCATAAAATATTCATCTAAACCCAAGAAAACAACTGCTCGTATATTGGATTGCATTTTACAGGAAATTTTGTAATAATGTGTAAAAAAAAGATGTGATCAGATGTGAAGTAATTTGCTTCCCTTCAGAAAAGTTGTAGAATGTCCATCTTGCACTGGAGCAATATCTATCAAATTTTGATTTTCAATTTTTAAACCGAATTTATTCTGACTGCAACACAAATTGCATCTTTGTGTAAATTCAAAATCCTACATTTTGTTCTGGCTCTTAAAGGATACTTTTTTAAAAAAAACCCTAAGCTTTGCAATTCATCATTTTACCATAATTGTTGTAAAAGAAAGAGGCAGACCAAGAAAGACACAACAGATAACAAGTGCAAAATGTTCCAAGACTGGGGGAAAATACATTATCTTCTGAATTTCTGTCTTGAGCTTAGGAGAACACAGGGTATTTTGCTCTACTCTGGCTTGAGTTCCCCCAACCCACTATTGAGATTTTCGAATTTTGAGAATCGTTCCTGGCATAAAAGAGCAGGCAGAGGTTCCATCCCCGTGGCCATTATCTGGAGCTGTGTTGTAGGAAGAAAAGATGGGGATGAGGGGAGCCAGTAAAGTACATGCTCAGAGATTGGGAGGCACATTCTGGGAAGGAGGAAAAGATGGCTGCCTGCTTGCGAACTACACCTATTGCTGTTTTAAATTCTTTGTTGTGGGGAACATTAACATTTGGAGGCTGCACTGTAACGTAGCGGTTGTGCTTTCTTTTTCAGGTGGCTTGTCATATACAAATGCCTCCATGGTGTGTTGCAAATGCGTTGCCCCTGAGCTTTGAGGTAGCTGAATAAAAAAGACATGCACCATGTCAGCATGTGCAATAGGACTGTGTGATGCTCTGAAGTCAAAGTTCACATAGCTCCTTACGGTAACTCCTTAGATCAGAGGGAGACATTTGGTTAACAAGTGACTGGCAGGTGCTACAGGCATGCCCACACGTGCTCAAAAAGCACATTTTCTCCTTCCAGTCCGAAATTCTGCACAGGCTTAATGCATTTTAGGAAAAAGCCTCAGTAACCGGGAAAATGTATTTTTCCTCTCATTATATTGCCTGTGGCTAATTCTGATGGCTGCTTGTGCCCATATAGCCTGTTTAACTTCTGTATGTTTTGCGTATCTGATAGAAGCACTTCTTCCTAAGCATTTTAAGAGATGCTTTTGTTGAGATATTTGGGATTAATATTTGGGGAGTTGAGTTAGTTGCAGCCAGCATCGCAAAACTGTCAAGGGCTTTTGGAACTGTAATCAAGGATGGTTGGAGGGCATCAGGCTCCCTGGCATACTCCATATTTAAGGTACTTAAACAGAAGTAGCAACAAGCCACTTCTGTTCAAACATCCAACTTCAATTTCTCATAATGCTATTTTGAAACCAAAATTCAGGAAAGCTGAAGGGAATGAAAAAAAAAAAGCTCATCAAACCTCAGTGAAGAACACAGCTGACTTCTCACCATCTTTTCCTCTTTCCCCTACAGGGATAAGTTTACCATGCTGCATTTAAAGAAAAGGCAGAGAAAGGTGAACTAAAGAGAAAGGTGTTTATAAAACATATTTATCCTGTTTCAACCGTTATTTCTTTCCATTGCTTAAAGAAATCAAATTTAAGTTGTTTGCATCTTTTTATCTGTCTTCCATTGTTCATTTATATTTTACCTCATTCTCAGTTAAGGAAGCTGAAGGAGATGAACTTTTGCTATAAGGAAGATGGGAAGATTCTGCTCCTGAAGCCCGATTTCGCTTCTTCAGTGGCTTACATGCATCTGACAGACCTGTCGTTGTGGTAAAATAATTTTGGTTTACAAAGTGAACTTGGAATCCCAATGTCTTTCCTTGATGTCAGAAGTAAACATCCCCTCACTGTTGTACCAAGAACTTACAATGGTCTTTTAGACCCCCATAGTACAGAATTACAAAGCAAGTATAGATACAGAATTGTAATAATTAAGAAATAATGTATATAAACACATTTGCAATCTAGCATTACATTGGTATTCCCATCTTTTTCTAAGGAAGTTGGAGTGGCGTGTATTGATTTGATCAGCAATTTGTTATTGATGTTTCTGTATAGATTTGCTAATAATTTTTACAAGGTCAAAGCTTATATTTTTAAATACTCATGGGAACTAATGTTTCTTTTGTTAAACCACACTACATTTAATTCCTCTATTAGGCTTAAACACACGCTCACTTAGAAATAAGACCAATTATACTCAATGGGCCTATCTGTCTGTCTATCTACAGAAGAGAATTTCATTTACCAATTCTAAGAACACAATAAGAGTTTCCTGTCCCCTCCCCACTGGTACTCTAAATGTGGTTCTTGAGGGTCAGAAACCCACCCAGCATAACATCTGAGCTGGTGTGGGAGGCTATGGTGAGGAGAAGAAAGAGGCAGTAATTTAGGTCCCCTGTCTTAAACAAGTAGAAAGTGTGTCCTGATTCTGAAGCTTACAGAGGCATCTGAATGGCTTATTTCCCCAAATTTCACTAGCCACCTTAAATAGCTGAACACAGAATCTTTTTAATTTAAAAAGATGTATCAAGCTTATTCTAACTACATTACCTGACTGGTTCTTTTGTGAAGAGGTTTCTGTGACTTTAGCAGAGTTTGTTTTTGCTGTTTTGTCATTGCTCCTCTCCCTCTGTTATAAAAAAGGAAAAAAAAAAGAAAGAAAAGGAAATGGAAAAAAAGAAAATGAAATAAAAAAATAAAAGCCTTCCTAATTTAGATAAACATGGAAAATATCTCAGGACTTGTCTTTGTTATCTTTGTTTACTTTGGGGTATAAAACTATAGCAGATACAACAGAGCTATGTCTGAAAAAGTGAAGGTGGGTGGGAGAGGAATCCCACAGCAGAAAATAATAATCTCATTGATATGGACTCTGTAAGTAAAAATACTATCCACTAAAACAGTAATTTAAATTTGAAATAATGTGTCTAAAGTTAGGATCTTTAAGAATTCTGTGATATGACTAATTAGAACTTCCACTTAAAATTCTCACTGGCATACCAAATGTATTTCTAAACATGATGTTTAGTTAGTTGATCCAGTATAAGTTTGGAAAAACAGGTCACTAAGCAAACAGTAGTTTTACTTGAAGGTTAAAAACAAATTTAATAGCAGCACTTCCATTTAAGAAAGGACTTATGATTTGTAAGCACAGGGGTAGTGTTGCTATCAAAGCTTCCTATAAGGATGACTGAAAGTTATGTGAAAAGGTTTTTTTACCCAATCACTTTATACATGCAGGTAGCTTACCTGTAAAAGTAGTTCATCAAGTCGTCATCTGTACAGAACAACCTAAATCTATGATTTTTAGCAGGAAGGAGCCCCAGTAGCTAACCCAGCATTCATGTCTAAGGGCGTCCTGCCAAATTATCTAATTTCTGTTGCTTCCTTAAAGGGTATAAAGAAATAGGTCTCCAGGAGAATGTTGGGTAGTTGGGGTGACTACTCAAAATTACAGATAAAACAGCCTATCCTAATTCACGGTTTCCGAGCATAGTAATCAGCAAGCTTTATTCAGCAGTAGCAGAGCAGGCAGAGTGCGGAAGTACAGAAAAAAACATTGCCACTTCAAAAGTACCATCACTTCTCCTCCTAAAACCCATCTGAGAGTGCTGGACCAGGTTCAATGGTTGGGACCTCATGGCTAGCTTACAGACATCTGGCAGTGAGATTCCACTGAAAAGACCTGAGTTTCAAGGAGAAGGGTTGATAAGCCTATCTGTACGGCAGTAAAATAATCCCTGCCATGTACAAGCAACAGCCTAAGGGGATGTCAGACCACAAATCTTTGAATATTGCAAAACAGGGTGTTTTGGAACAAGTAAAAAGTAAACATGGTACCTCCAGTTACAGTGAGGAAAAAGTGAAGATTGTTAGGACAATATCATGAAGAATACAAAAGACAGAGATCACCTTAGGTAGAAAAGAAACATCTGGATGAAAGTTCACTTCATCCTGTGGAAAATTGGGAAAGATTCATATTTTTTTCAATGTATCACATCAGACTTGATAGGTGGTGTATCTTCTCACTTACTCCTTAAGGAAGGTGAAAGGAAAAGGTGTACTGCTCCTTATAAGAATAGAATGGCTGATCCTTCAAAAACAATTTGGTGGAAATTATCAACCAAATTTAATTGCATGTCTTGTTGGGATGATACACCCAGTACAGTAATAAGTGGCAATATTTACTGAGTGTCTTTGAAATGAGTTAGGCAATAGCCAAAGGTTACTTGTTTGGAATTAACGCTGACCTTAAAACTGCTAAGGCTGGTCAATAGCAGCATTTTTTAATTTTTCATCCTGGCACTGACAGACTCTTTCAATCAATATTGCCAGTAAATATAATTAAATATTACTTTGCTTTTCTGAATTTGGGGATAAGGATTATTCTTCTCATTTAAAAAATTAACATATAGGCCTAAAAATTGACAACTAAAAGGGTGAGGACATTTTTCCTATGCCCTACAGCATTCAGTTTGAAGCTGTAAATCAACAGGCTCAGAATGGAATTTGTAAGATTCCTTTACAAGGATACAGTTTACTGCTGTGGTCTCGATGCATCCTGTAGATACAGTCCTGATGTTTGCATGCTGATAAGACCTTGCCAAGATTTTTTGGCAATGTCATAGCAGGTGGCAGGGTCTAGCCAAACCTGACTGATCCGAGAGAAGCTAAGTAGGGTCAGATCTGGTTAACATTTAGATGGGAGATCCCTGGGAAACCCCAGGGCAGTAGGCTAGACTGGAAACTCAAAAAAAGATACAGGAAGGCAGTATCAAGACAAACAGCTTCTATACTACTGCCAAGAAAAATAACATTATCTGTTTAATTACCAGGGCTAAGATTCACGTAGCATGGTCTTTATCCTATTAGAAAGCGGCATCAAGTAAGGCAAGGAATATGGGAATTAAGCCTGGAACAGAAGAACCTGCATTAACCGAGTCAAATATTGGCTCAGTTGTAGATAAAGAAAACATTTTGTTTCCAACCCCAAAGTTTCTGTCATTAAAAGTATTTGTTTGGAATAACAATGGCTATTTTCAGAAGGGAAACACTTCATGTAATCCACTATGATCACGCTCAGTGATGCTGTCGATGATGCCAGAACAGAAAGAATAGAGTTCAGTTCATAATTATATATAACGGTAAATAGATCAATAGGTTTAATAAATAAATAAACCTCTGATTTTGAGGAATGTGATGAATCTTTTTGTTAAGATGAGGCCAAGCAGGATATACAAAATACACTTACGTTTTTGGTACAGAGGGAGGGAAAGAAAATACTGGAGGGACACCTAATTGGATCTGACACCCCCTTCACTTAAATATTAAGAGCTTCACCAGGAACCACAGGAGGAACCCAGTTTTTTCTACTGGTCTCAACATGGGCTACAGCTACAGTGTATCTGCCTTGATTATCCCAACCATAATAGTAGTTGTCAAAGAGCCAACTCACAGGAGGCCAAGATGGATGGGAACCCATTCTCCAAATCCCTATTTGAATTATTCATAGAAATAACATCTTGACTAAGCCCTAGCTATAGTGAATTACTGTATGACTAAACAATTCTTGTGCAAATACTACAAATAGATTTGTAGACCTATTTGAAATTAAAAGGCAGTCAAAGAAATCATTTTGCAAATTTTGGACCCACTTAAGAATAGCAAGAGCATGTATTTAAACTAAAAAAAGGACAAATCTCTTACTCATGAACAATAGCTTTGAGAAATCTAGTCAGAGAGATCAGAGCTAAAGGCTGAGGCCATAAAGATGTTGCTCAATTGCAACTCAAAACAGCCACAATGCCTCTGAGAACTCAGCAGCAACTGCAAGACCAGTGTTAAGAAATCACGTTTAACATGTGCTGGCATTTCTGAGCAATCCAAGGGATGAAAAAGGCAAAGTCCAGGAACATACTGAGAAGTGTACCCATGTTCAAGCTAACAAAAATCTCCCTCCCTTTTGTCTGAACACATGGGGGTTTGAGTTTTCCACAGATTAAGATGAATATATGAATGGAAGCTACAGTCTACTCAGGAATTCATTAAAACTGATAACCAAATAGTAATGCCAGTACAGCATGCTAAGACATAACTACTTTATACTAGCTGAAGTAAAGAATCAGCTTTTTAAGACCTAATGTTCATGTTTCTTTTAATTATAGTTGCCATAACCTGCTTGTGTATTTTTATGGTAAAATAAAAAAAGAAAAACATTCTTTATTTTACCATAAAATAATGTTGCATGTAAGCTCACTAACTTATTACAAAATAGGTGTTAAAATGAGGGTATCTATACAGCATACTCTACTGGCTCTTTCACGTTTCTGGAAACACACATGAATTGTTGCTTCCACCCGTTAATCAATTTTGCCCTTAAACGTGTGGAATGTTGAATGCAAATATACAACTAGTTCACAGCTGAAAAAAAATATATAATGACTGGCATCTCAAAAGCACAGGTGAAAGGGCACTTTATACTCTTTTTCAGATGAAAGACATCTGATTCCTAGATGGAGATGATTATCTTTCTTAGCTTTTCACCAGCACCTCTCCTATCATTATGGAAAAAAGATTCAGAAAACAGACTCACAGATGTAAGATATGAAATAGTAGAAGATGCTTTCATGGGCATCGTACATTTCAGTGTTTTAAGATGCACTCTAGTCAACCACTCATAATTAATTCATCTGCTCCAGTGAAGCAGAATATTATAGACATTTTGATAAAACAAAGCCAAATAATCATGTTTGTTGCCACTACAACACACCCAAATAAGTCAACAACATAGTTACCTTCTGATAATTCTTTTTATCCATTCTGAGCCTTTTTCTAGATGCTTCCTGAACTTCAAAATCTTCTGTGGGTTTCTTTGTCCTCTTTACAGGTTTCCTTTTATTTCCATGTAAGTTACCTTGGAGTGGGGATGGGGAAACTTACATGAAAAAAGTCTAAAGCTCATTTAGAAATTATCTTGAACCAATGTAGTTACATTACTGTACTAATACAGTTTGATAATGTTGATTACCCCTAAACATCTTGCAATTCACAACTTCTCTTATTAAAATAGCTTTACAGTACAAACCTATCATAGCTCATCTTATATACAAAAAAACTACTATCTATCTGTACATTAACATTAGTTTCCAGTTTCAGTTTACTAAAGGATCTACAATCAGATCCAGAAGTTTTGCTTTGAAGTAACTTCTTTTAAGAAGAACCCTTATGTTATGTAAAACAATTATCCTATTCTCCGAGATCACTACATGATAGACCATTACCCTCATGGTTTGGAAAACATATAGCAATACATGTACCATGTGAATTTCTTTCATACAAAGACCAGGAGAAAACATTTTAGACAAAGACTAAAAAATGAGTTTTAAGTATCTTGCATATTTATATCTGAAACCAGCAGGTCTGGGTGGAACCCATTTGAAATAATAAAGTTCCATGTTACAAGTTTTAAGACACAAGATCACCAACCAATTTAAACAACCTATTTCATTAATTCTCCTTTGGTATATATATATTCTACTCCCACCCTACCCCAAAGCTAACTTCTTAACAGTCTGAATCTACTCAACTATAACAAAACTTTCTATTTACTGTTTATTATTCCTCAACTATACTTTTTAGCCTGGAACCAAATTGCCACACTTAATATGGAGCCACAGAACATCATTCAAGTGCTTTGAAAATCAAGATTCTTCTTTTGGTAATTAAATGTTCAAGCCTCAAGATAGATCTTGTTATCCTATAACATGCTTCTTTTAAGAACTTGTGGATAACTCTTAGTTTCCACATGCCAATGATGAAGTTTAAATTTACTGGGAATAGCTATTACATATGCTAAGTTTTGATATTGACATGAACTATATGGGCATGCAATAATGGTCTTTCACAGATTCCTAAATGTGCCCAAGTCTGAAAGTCATCTTATATAGATGGTATCCAAACTGAGGAAGCAATATTCATTTTAATTGGATTGTAAGAAGAAACTACCATAAAGCTGAACAGAATTTTGTACTACAGCACTCAAGTATTTAATTCAAGATCCATAAAAATGCTAAAACTGAAGGAGCACAACATCTGAGAAAAAGTATTATTGAGCAGTTACATGAAAGGCACACTTAAGGGTTACTTAGTTTAAAATCAATATTACACAGCACAAATTTAAATTACTTCTGGATCTTGATCTTCTTTTACGTGATCCTTGATACACTTTACGTTTGGCCTTGCTCATACTCTTCTGTGATGAACCTTGAGAGATACAGAATGTTGTGTAGTGTTGTTTGTTTTTAAAATTGACACCCAAATATTTTATACATTGAGACAAAGCATTTAACTTTCCCACAAATTGTCCCACAAGATGTCGTTTCACACACAGATAACAAGACTATAATTTTAATACATTTTGTCCAAAATTGAGAAACCTTTCCAACACACTCTCATTCTTCTCATTGTCCAAAGCAGCAACCTGATATCTTAAAATTTCTTAATAATCCAACAGTTACACAGACTATAATATTACTGAGAAATAAAAATATGGCTTTATCTTTTTTGGGGGGGCGCCTTTAGGCTTATTAACTATTCCAAAACTAAAACTATCAGTATATTAAGCTAAATGCTTTATAAAAGATGGAGATCTGGCCAAATTCCTGCAGATTCTAATAATATTCTCCACCATTAGCCTGTCTTGGAAACGTAAGTGTTGGATGTTTTCGCATATCAACAATCTTAATTATTGTAAACAAAGGGACATAGATTACAACCTCCACTTCAATTTTAAGAACAAGAATTACACTTAAAGCGAATGTTTAATTTCAATTCTAGACTCATTTCTTTCAATTTCCATAATTCCCACTTTGTTGACAGCGATACCCACGGCAGCTGCTTAGAGACAGGAAGGGAATGAGAAACCAGCATTATCTACAATAGATTTACACAGAGCAACTTTGCAGAACAATGACCAAGAAATGCAGACATTATTGACTTTTGTTTAAAAAAAAAAAAAAGACTGCATTCACTGCTATCAGCACAACATCCCAAAATTAGAAACAGAGGACAGTAAAGGCTGCTCCTCCCTACAAGTTTTGAACTGTGTGCTTAATTAAACATGACTACAAATATTAAACTTAGTTAGAGTATACTAGCACAGTTTTACGTTTACCAGTGTCTTCTTCACATTTGGGAGAGGTCACTATGGCAAATTTTGTGTTATAGCGTGCTTTCTGTTTTTCACTAAGCATGTTCCACTGTGACTCCAGCAGTTCTTCAATTTCATCACTTGAGGCATCTGGATGTTCAGCAATCACCTGAACAAACAAACATTAAGGCATCTACTTAGCTAAGACAAATGGTCTATTTTTAAAGTTTTTTCCAAGTTTTTTTTAAAAATATTTTATCCTCCTATAGGACCAAGATCTTCTGCACACCTTATGGACTGCATTTCTGTTTTCCTTAATATAATGGATTATTCCTGACAAACAATGAAACCTTCAGCTGAAAAACAATGGCAATGGGTTGATTTCAGATGTGTAAAAACAATATCATGAACCACACCTGCAACTGGCAGATAACCACACATGGTACATCTAAAAGCACCATCATGCTGTAGCAAATTCTACAGAACAAGACAAGCATGAACTGAAAGAACCAGAGACCAGAGATGAATGGCTTCTGAAAGCATACAAACCAAAGAGAAAAAGCATTCTTCACTGAGCCCAGATTATCCTTCACAGCAATTATTTGCTGCTCCCACTTGGCAAATAATCCAGACTACGCTGGATGAGTTTCCTTGTCTTGCAGCTTCTACTGAGAAAAAGGTTCCATGAAGAATGGAACATTACATTTTAGAAAACAGACAGGCATCCGGCAAGATAAATACTCTGTTCCCAGTAAGAATGCTAGTTTTCTTTCATTCTGTCTGGCTTTTATAACTATGTTCCAACTCTAAGGCACATTTTATCTTTCTTTTGTAAATTTGGTCTACAACTGTGAATTGAATAAAGAAATAGGAATGGGTGGCCAATTGTTTAAGTAATCAATTTCTACTCAAGGCATTCTGACTCTTGCAAAAAGTTGAGTATAACTATTAAAGATGCTTTAGCATTCAATGTTTGTCTTTAGTTTTAAGAAGAGGGAATATGCATGCTCATAAGCCATGATTCAGAAGACCTAGTAGATATTTATTCTTTATTTGCTGGACTTTTCAGTATCTCTCTTAAATTAACAACTGAATTACCAAATCTTTCTGCAAGGAGAATTATCACTGATAATCAATGTCTCCTTTATATTTGAGCAGATGGGTGAATCACAGAGGCAGTGGTTAGACTTTGTCAATTGAATGTGAAATATGATTCTCAATAAATAAAAATCCTTATTTTCAGTTGATAACAATGTGAGATGAGATGTATATGGTAGAACAGTTCTAGAATGTGAAAAGTGAGAAAAACGTCATGATGGCTAAAGAAGCACAGGGTTAATGCTTTATGATTTCAGAACAACCTTTAATTGATTATAATAGTCATTTCATGTTTGAAAATGGGTTTAAGCCACTGCATTATAAAAAAGCAAAGGAATCTATACGGTGAGTATAATTTGTATCAATGATAGACAGCCTGAAGCCCTCCAATCAGGTTGTCATCATGGCCAGTGGAGAGTTTATAAGAACTGTAGCCTCAAAACACCTTAATAAGTACACTTGATTAGACTGCCTGCCTACAGCCTATACAGGTACATCTAATAAGAGGTTATTAGATTTCCTAACTATGTTAGTGAAAGTTACATTTCACTTAGAAGAGTTCCTACAATTTCTGGAGACCTAAATATGATCATCCATAGATTTAATATCAGGGATGTAATTACTAATATTTTCACTAAGAATTTTATGCATGGATTTCTGCATTGGAGAATTATGCTTCCGTAATCCTTACAGTAAGAACTGTGCTTTTTGTTCAACTCAAAAACTGCATGTTCCAATATAGTCTTTTTTTTTCCATCTCACATTCTCCTCCATGCTGTTCCCAAAGAGAAAAGAGAGAAAAGAACTTGTGAGGGGGATTATTATCTATATTAAAAAAAGAAATGATGATCTCTGCTTAGGCTGGTGTGGGTCTTCCGGGCTGTGAGGCCGTGTTCTGGAAGTTTTGTTTCCTAACGTTTCGCCAGCATCTGTGACCGGCATCTCTGCTTACTTTAGGATATCTTGAAGATATGAGAAGATCATTTATTAATACCAAGAATTTACCCATAAGGAAAAAAGTAAGGAAGACTATTGGTAAGTAGGAATAAATCTGATTGTTCTCCAGTCACATATATGTAATAGCAGTTAAGGGCTGATTTTGTTCATATACAAAATCCTTGGCCTATCTAAAAAGAAGACATTTTGAAACAGGTACTAAAATGACCTTTAGTAATTAGTAAAGATACAGAATTGAGATACATTGATTGAATGGATTTCAGTTTAGAGGACTTCAGATATAGACATATTTTTCATTCACTTCTGTTTAATGGGAAAATGGAAAAATTGTGGGGCTCTCTGTTAAATCAAAGTGTTACTGTGAGTGAAGCCATTTATGTCAATTAAGGAACTGTGGAAATGACAATTCATGCAAATTATGTTAACGTAGATTTAATGGACTTTTGGATTTCATGGACATGCCCTTCTCTCACATGGTCCATTAAACTGAGTCTAATACACTAAGATAAGGTATGTAAAAATCTCAAAAGTATAGTTTCATTATTATAAAGTACTAAACAACTATTCAACATGAAGTAAATCTGCATTCTCTTGCATGACAGCCAGCTAAACTTTTGCAAACCACTATATTATCTTGCCTCAGTCTTTTCTTTTGCTCCTTCAACCATCTGTCATGGGGTCTGGTTTCCACACCAATTATTATCCTGATTCTTCTCATCTGGATCTGGTTCCAGCAACTCCATATTACTTTTAGACAATAGTGCTGCAAATACTACTAAAATGGAACTATTATCTCTCATGATCTGGGTGCAATGCTTCTGTTAATGCAGGTCAAGACTACACTGGCCTCTTTAGTGCTGCATCATACTGCTTGCTCACATTAAGATGTTAGTCTATTAGTACTTGTAATAAGATAGTAGTCTATTAGTAGTCCTAGATCCTTTTCACATACACTGCCAAGTCAAGTCTCCCCAGTCCTCTACCTATGCATTTGAATTTTCCTACCCAGACAGTACAGGTCCTGCTACTTGTCACAGATGAACATCAGCCTAGTAGATTTGTTGTTCAAACCAGCTGAGGTAAGTTTGAACTGTGTTTAGCCAATCCCCAAGCTTAGTGTCTTCTGCAAATCTGTTAAGTACCCCACTCCATCCTCTAGGTCAATGCTGTATGGTACTAGGCCAGGGTTAATACCTGGGGGATTATAACTCTTTCCAGGCCAATGCAGAAAAATGTATGACCATCCTTTGGGTGTGGCTGCTTAATCAGTTCCAAATCTAGTGGGCCACAGAATCTTCTATTCCACATTTAACCATCTTGTCAACAAACACATCTTAACTGACCTTATTAAAAGGTTCACTGAGATCAAAGAATGCTACATCCACAGCATTCCTTTGGTCTATCAAACTAGTCATTTTATCATACAAGGACACCACTTGGACTTAACAAATCCAGGCTAGCTCCTGCTGATAACAACAGCATTCATTTTTAGAAAATCTGTTCTAGTACAAGCGCCCAATACATTAACTGGTCTGTAGTCTCCCAGGTTGCCCCTCTTCATATTGCTGGGATCATGTTTGCTCAAGTTTCCCAGCTCCTCACCAGTTCGCCAGGAGTTTTCAAAGATGACAGCAGTTCTGAAATCATTTTTGAAATCACAGAAAGAAAGGGGAAAATTAGGAGCCTAAGACTCATAATGCTAACCTGAAATGCATCAATAAGTAGTAATCTTGCTGATTTTTAATAAGCAAACAAACCTTGCCTGAAAATCTTTGAGCTTTACTCCTAACGTCTAAGAGATTTGTTAATATTAGTAAAATCCTACAGTTGGAAATTAATAGTGCTCTTCCTCCATTCTAGCAGTTCGTCCAACTGAGTGTATAATTAAGAATCCTTTTATTTCCCAATTTACAAGCAAAATATAAACTGATTAAACTTTTGCCTTACCTTGGTCATTATTCCCTAGGTGAGTGTAGAACAGTGTTTCTCAACCTCGGGAACTTTAAGATGTATGGACTTCAACTCCCAGAATTCCCCAGCCAGGCTGGCTAGGGAATTTTGGGAGTTGAAGTCCACACCGCTTAAAGCCGCCGAAGTTGAGAAACACTGGTGTAGAGCAAGGTGAGCCCCCAATGAATGTCCTGGGGGCTACACAGGTTGGTAGGACTCATGTGGAGCCACCACAGGAGGGGGGGAGGGGATATATTTGTAAGGGAGGAGGCAGCGTCTGACTATATCCTTTCTCAGATATAAAGTTCCAGGTCAATTTCTCTTGCAGTAGAAAAACAGTAACCTGGTCATGGAGAAGAGCTTTATTTCCTAGATGTTCTGGAGTCATAGAAAGTGCAACCAACAGTCAAGGTCAGCTGGCAGGGTTCAATGATTGCCTTTATAGGCTTTTAAGACCTTCCTCCCTCTCTCTCCCTAAACACCACTCCCCAGTGTGAGCACCACGCAGACTGTAATTCTGATTTGTTCTGTTTTAAAAATAACCAGTGTGTCTAACCATACTCAGCATCACAAATGCTTTTATATACTGTTAACCCTTATCGCCAACAGCTTTCCACTGTTAACATGTGAAATTCAAGCAGATATCTTAACCAGTTTTTTCTTCAAAGGCACTTCGATTAAATGAGTTATGGCTTCAACACAAACACAAGGATCAACATCTGATTTGTTTTGCTGGTGAAAAACAATTAACCATCCTGCTGACTCCATCATGGAAATGGAGTCTGAAAGACAGATTCATCTTTAAGACCATTTGTAGAATAGCAGCCAAAGTAAGGATGAGTTCTAAATCAGATTACAATCCAATTGTTATTGTTTTCCAATTTCTTCTAATTTGGCTGCAACAAGTAAGACTGTTAGAAACAGTTTCCCACTAGTTTAATTGAGACCTTATCACCCCTCCATTTGATTAAGTCCATGCATATAAAAACACAGATCTTCCAAAAATTAAAATATTTAAGGGATGGTGTTGAGAAGCAAATGGAACACTGGAATAATTTTTGATAGAGCTATTACAAGGTATTCTCTCTCGATTTAAACGAACTCACAGATTTACTACCTCAAGAACATCAGGTAAGCCCTATGAATTATGATGGACCTTCCTGGAACATGGATGAATGAGTTTAAGTGAACAAGAGGAGGACAAACAGATTTCATGCCTTAAGAATCTAAGGGACACATTCAGACACCTGAAAAAGAAATGTGTAGCAAAGAGTTAAATGCCATGATACAAATTCTGAAGGCACAAACCTCATCTCTGTGCTTCTGACAAAAAACCAAGAACTGAGAAACTCCATCTCCCTTTCGGTTTCTTGCAGCATATGGGACTGCTTTCTTCCTACTGAAAGGGGACCCTGTGCCTCCTTTGATTTCTCTCTCTTCAAGGTTTTTTTCAGAAGTGATACTCTGAACAGGTTTGATGAATTCTTCTGATTCATTTGTGGAAAGCAACTTTATTCTTCTCCCCCTTTTGGCTGGAACATCATATTCTTTGCTTGATTTCAAAGTCTGAGAAAGGTCTTCATCGGAATAAATTTTATCCATCTCTTCCAAAGACTTAACAACGAGTCCTGCTTCTTTTGCCACTTGCGGATTGAGAAGTGGTCTGCCCCTAACATAAATGAAGTTATACTTAGCTTTCCTTTCTTCCACTGTCAAGGACAAGGCATCTTTTGACTGCTTGACACCCATTTCCCACTGGGGACGTAGTTTGCCTGAAACAGGTTTTAACATCTGTAAGGAAAACATCAAAAAGAGGTAATTGAGACTAACAAAAGAAAAGCCCTATCTAGTGAACTTTGAAAAATATCATTTCCTCTAATAATACCAATGCATAACAAAATGCTATTAGCAACAGATTGTCCCCTAAGAATGGAAGAAAAATCTGTTTGTTTTTTTAAAAGAGTGGTGGATGCTGTGATATCACTAAAATGTTTTCCTGCACTTCTTGAAATACTCAAGCAGCTATGTTGACATACAATTTTTACCTTTATTTTCTCTGCTTTGGTAATGGAATGCTTTGCACTTTCTTGGCATAATTGCTCAAACTGTTCTTCTCCTTTGAACGGTACAAGACTCTTTTCAAACACCCAAGCTCGTTCTGGGGCATCCCCAAAGAATTGTACATGATACTGGCGAAAACTCTTCTTCTGTCCTGAAAATATAGAAAGCATACTTAACTAATTTAGAGTCTTATCTTAACAGAGTCATATGTAAAGATTAAACAACATTTGATGGTCAGAAGATACATTTTCCCAATATTTTTACTGAGTAAATATTGTTCAATACCAGCTTGGATCCTACATATGTGTGGATTTCCGTATTCTTAGCAATAGCCAGGATGGATGTGGCATTCTGAGAGTTGAAGTCCAACCATTTCGACCAGGTTGAGAAAGGCAGTCCACATATCATACTATAACATAAAACTGTTTGATAAATTTTGGCTTACTGAGCTGCATGAAGCCAGCCATTCTGGTAGTAAATTAGATCTTGGCTTAACAGAATGCATGGATTCAGCAAAACTGCAGCTTGTTCAACAAGCTAATAAAGCAAACTATGGTTTAGCATGGTGTGAATCCAGCCTACATCATCCATTTTGAATGTGTAGGCTTATTAATTAATTAAAGCAAAACCATCTTGAAACAGGTTACATAATTAATAAACATATGAATTGTTCCACATCCAAGTTTGCTTCTTTCAAGACAGTATAGAAGTAATGACTTCTCATACCTATGACATCATTCAAAAAAGTAATAAGCTATTTTGGTCTTTAGGAATGATCTTGCAAAGGTCATAAATAATCTTCCTCTATTCAAAAGGGTATATGGTTTTGAAGAGTGTTGAACAGTAATGGGCTAAAGTTAACACACAAAATGAAGCCACATGGATACGCCATAAAGAAATCACATCCTTAATGGTGAGACAATCACTGTATTGGAAGGAGATATTTTAAAAATGTCTAGTGCACTTTTAAAAGCTTGTATTCTTTCCACCTTTTCTGTAAAATTAAAACCAACACAAATGGTTCAAATAAAGGATATTTGTTTACTTCCCTTGTTTTTGTATTTTATTTTCTATATTACTGCCTGAAGCCAATAGTGTAATAAGCAAAAATGCCCCATAACTCCCCCTCCTCAAAAGAACATACCATTTAGTTTTGTGAAGTTATGAAGAAGAGGGTCAGTTGAGATCATACAGGGCCACCATGGATAGCCAGATACTTTGGACCAGACCACGTCTCCCACATTGTACTTCAATATATGAATTTTGTCATCTTTTCCAGTAAGCAAAGAAGAATCTTCTTTAGCAGGAATCTTTAGGAAGGGGGGGAAAGCAAATATACCCAAATTCTAGCAATAAGAATACTTTTACAGTTGAACAAATATGAAAATACTTTATAACCACACCATTACTTATTAAGATCAGTATTACTGATTTGGTCCATTTCAATCATAATTTCCAGCGTGAATATACACAACCTTTTGAAAGCAGTTTGGGCTGTTAGGAAAAACAAGTTAGAAAGCCAACTATGATATTGCTTCTAATGCTATGTGAAATTTTCTGATTTTCAAAGAATGATAAAACTTATTATTTAGGAATCAAAAGGGAGCATATATCTTAAAGAAGAGAGATTCTTTACTCAGCTTCTGTAGGAAATATAGGTTTTGGAATAGCAATATGGAACGCCATACCTTTCCTCAGATTGGAACTCCCCAGGTGGGTTGTGACTTTAAATTAGCAAATTCCTAAGCTAAATAGAAACTTGACTTTGCGGTTCTGCCTACATTTTTCAACATCTTACACATACACATCTAAATCCCTCTTGGAGATGAATATCTCTAGGAAAGCTCAGTAGCTGCCATAATTTTGAGAATGGTACCAGTAAAGTCAAATGTAATGGGGGGAAGCTAGGAGTAATCCATAATGGGGTTAAGGACTGTTAGGGCTCCAGAGCTATGATGGAATTGGACCATGTCTTGTTGCCAAGGAACGTATGGACAAGGCTATAACAAGCCTGAGTAAGCAGGAAGCTACTCAAGATGATTCTCCTGCTACTGGCTTAAGGCTTCTTTGAAATGGAAGTGCACAGTGCACACTTTTTGAAATCTGCCTTTCTTGCCAAGCTCAAAAATCAAAGCTGCTTAGTTGTCTTAATCCAAGAAACTGAACAGACAACAGCCCAGCAACACTATCTGAAACGCACATGCACATTGCTACTTTTAACATGGAAAAGTACAAGACACATTTATTAAATCTAACTTTCCTGTAACAAAGATTCTAAAAACAGCAGTTAATTTACATATAAGTTGTAATCTTTTTATTGTGTTCCAAATCGTTTCCAGCCTCTGAATGCAACCAACTCTTTCTCACTCACTTCTCCCCTTAGTGCCTGAATTTTTCCATCTACAATTTTATATCTGCATAGTTTTACACTAAAGGCATTATTTATTCTCTTAGTACTGAACTATTTGGAAAATCACAGCTGCTACTCAGAGACCAAGAGAGGAAAACAATTCTGCTGTTTTGCTTATGCGAATAAATGGCCCATGGGCAAGAATCTAGCAAGAGATCTTGGACAATTGAGAATGATCAGGCAAAATGTTTATCTTATCCCGTGCCACAAAGGATGCGCTATCTGTGTGTTTTCCCCCTTTATTTCACAATTCTCACAGCTCCTCTGAACTATGACTCACAATCCTGCTCTCAATTTTCCCTTACCTCAATTTTTTACAGATGGGTTGAACTACAACTCCCATAATTCTCAGCTAAAGTGCCCAGTGCATTTGGAGGACATCTGATTTAAGGTAGGCATTAGGATTATGAAATCATTCCTAATTTTTTAAAAAAGATACCTAAAATGGTTAAAAGTAGAAATGATTTCTAAAAACTCTCAGAGGAAGACTTTATTTAAGATTATTTACCATCAGTACATTTCTCAACTGCTCAAAAAGACTGCATGTCTTTCCGGGGGGGGGGGGGGAACTGGTACCTATTTTCACAAGACAAGGAAGGATCATGTATTCTTCCTTCCTTTTATTAACTTTTGGCCTAGAAATTGGTGGATTGATTTCTGTCCGATACCAGTCAAGTAGGTATCGGCAGCAACATTTATTTATCTTGTAAAAGTGCTAGAAGTAAAAGGGCATTGTACACATTCAAAATTTCCCCTATATTTCACCTCCTCCAACTCATATGTTTCTACATACAGAGCATATTCTAGATGTTATGTGCAAACATGTTATTCACCATAGCAACCATGTTGGAATTCAGTACCAAATGATGATTAAAAATTCTCTCAGACTGAAGACTTTTATTTCCAGAGAAGTACAATTCCATCCAAACAAGGCCAAATCAAAATCTCAAGGTTTAATTTCCTGTTGATCAATACTACCTCTTTCATGTCTGGATTTAAATTCCAAGTGTTCTCCCTCATCCAATTCATTATCAAACTTAGATAGCATTCAACGATATTGATTGCTTCCTTGGAATCAGGCAGCAAGAAGGAATGGTTCTGAGCACCATACGCCTATTAATGACACTTCATTCCACAACTCTAGCAAACATAGTAGTTTCAGTAGATGTTGAATACCACATGGGATGAGATGCATCCCTGCGAAAGAATATGGTCAACATCCTAGGAGTCAAATAGTCTTACAACTTGTGGAGATGGTCTCACAGAAACAACTTAAACCATTATAAAGCTGTTCCCAAGGTCCAGTTTTACTACATGGTCCATATGGAATATGGTCCTGAAAATGGCTTGAAAGATCCAGGAGAACTGGCAGATTCACACTTCCTCCATCTAATCTCAGGTAAGTTGTTTAAGCAACCAAAGCAGTTCATGTCCGATACTGAAAGTCCAATTTAAATCAGTCCAGACATGCAGTATCCATCAGATGTATCTGAAATTACAAGGAGATTCCCTTCTCCATTTCAGCCAGCAGTGGGATTTGGACCTGTCCTGTTTGGCCTGACTAGAATAGAGATAGTTCTCAATCTCAGAGTGCAGCTGAGGACTATTCTACATTGCCCTACATTTGAGGTACTCTAAACTTAAAAATACATCAAACACCTCTACAATGGAGTGGAACTTTGGGAATTACAACCGGTTCCTGCCCTGAGCAGAAAAGAAGAAGAGTGTTGCATTTTGCACACAGGAGAATGGCATTCTTCAATGACGAGCAACTTAGTGAATTCTTGCATCGGACAACATGTCCAATGATAGTAGGGAAAAAAAGTCAAATCCATCCTTCACAGAACAAAAGCATTAAATTTACTTAACCACCACTGTTCTTCCTTTCCCCCCATAATTATTATACCTCACAATATCCTTTTGTGCTTTCTAATACTGGTAGGTTTACACTGAAATCCCATCTTTTTAGGCAAGAAAATACATTTCAAAATTTAGGGATGCGTCAAGGGTGCCATCACAAAACAGCTGCAAAAGTTGGGAGTCAATTTTGTAGACTAGAAAATTAATGTACAGTAGGTGGAAGATAAGGAATTAATTTGAAATCTGAACATGTGACAATGATGGGAGCATAGCCCCCAGAACAAAAATCCTTCCTTAGTTCTTGCACTTTTTTCTCATTCAAGATCCCATTCTCAACTCCTATCTAACACTTTATTTTAACACTAAAAACCATTCTACTTTTTTTCAGTGGTACTCTTCAAGCATACTCCCATACTTGGAGAGAGTGCAATGCACAATTCCAAGGGTGGAATAAAGATTGCAAGTGATTGGAAGAAATGCTACTAGCCTCTCCTCCAGGATATCTAATGTTTAAAAAGAAGAATATCAGCAGAGCAGCTCATAAACACAAGCACCATACTGCTAAAAATAGCCAGAAGTGCACCAAAACATCTGGATCCAAACCTTTTCAACATCAAAACCTACACTATGACTGGTTCTCAGTTTAGCATGAAGTACTACTCAACTTACAACCATTCATTTAGCAACTGTTCAAAGTTACGATGGCACTGAAAAAAATGACTTACGATTGGTCCTCACACTTAAGACTGTCGCATCATCCCCGCAGTCATGTGGTCAAAATTCAGGCACTTGGCAGTCAATATGTATTTACAATGGTTGCAGCATCCCAGGGTCATGTGATCGCCATTTGCGACCTTCCCAGCTGGCTTCCAAGAAGCAAAATCAATGGGGAATTGGATGATTCACTTAACCGCATGATGCACTTAAAGACCACATGATTCACTTAACGACCACTGCAAAAAATGTCATATTGGATGCGGTCACGTGACACCTCGCTCAATGACCACACTGCTTGACAACAAATTTTCCAATCCCTATTGTGGTCATAAGTTGAAGACTACCTGTATGAACTTATCCTCTGATTTACAAGCTATTTTTTTCCTTTTGTCTGTATTCACAATATTTAAAGAAAATCTTTCTTCATGTATTAGAAAAAGCAACATTAAGGAAAATATAACTCCTTCCATAACTTCCAGCCTCAAATAGCACAATCTGAATCTGCTGTGCTAAGATGTGACTCCTAGATTCTAGACCTACTGTATGACTTTTCATCCCTCCTGTTCCTGAGGTACAGAATCAAGTGAAGATCCTCATACCATTCACACACAAGTAAGAATTACCAGATGAGAGAAACAAGAAGGGGACTTAAATGATTTTGGAAATGGACACACCTCCTCTATACCCATATTTGCTAGCTTTATTAACTGGGGACTACAATTAGCTGACCTTGGCTTATTTTGAAGAAGCTAAACAGTACTGGACCTGGTTAGTATTAGGATGAGACAGCACCAGCCTGGGTAGTTGAAAAAATATCCAAAAGGAAGGCAATAGCAAGCCACTTCCATATTGCTGCTGATAAAATTATAGGGTATGTTCTGTAGCTACCAGGAGTTGAACATACAGTTTAAGGATGTCTTTACTGTTTCAGAAACCAAGAACTTGCTAATCTGGGCAAAGAATCATTGGAATTAAGATCTTAAAACTTGATTACAAGCAAACCACAAGTTCTATCACCCAACCATCTAAGTTAGCAAGATACGCAGTACCTTTTCATAAGAGGAACTGGACGAATTGGATACTAATGCTGCTTCAACAAAACCTCGTTCGAGTAGGGAGTCATATTTGATGCTTCTTTTTCTATTTCTCTTCTCTTTGTTTACTGGATTTGGCTCAGTTTGCTCTGTCTGAGTTACATCCAGCACACTGTCACCACAAATTGAAGATTCAAACAGAGGCTTTCCATTCATGTAAGTTTTAGTGATTTTCAGTTTAATTTCTGGAGAGCCATTCTTGGCAGGAGTAGTGTTGGGTGGAGTTCCAGCTTCTTTGATATCCTGAGACTCAAAACGCAGTTTGGTATCTTGTGCTCCTGATTCCCCATTAAACACACGAGATGTGAGATCCTGGAGCTTATCTACGGGGATAAATGGGAGAGCATCATGGCCATTATATTTTGGCATGACATCCTCCTGTAGTGTGGCAGAAAGGTGAGTTTTGCCCAGGTAAACAGAACACTCCCGGTTCACTTCACAGTTTTGTGATTTTCCTGTGGGATTTCCCAAGATCTCGGGTACTTGCTTCATTTTGATGTGGTTGGCACTTTTTTTGGTGAGCAACAGCGAGTTACTTTTAAAATCCATCAAAGAGGCTTCCAGTTTTATATTGCTGCATAAATAAAGAAGAAATAACAAAATTGTAGTATTAGTACTGGAGGATGCAAATTGAGTAGTGTTTGGAGAGCATAGTATTCCCACTAAGAATTCTACCAAAATAATATAAACCTAACCAATATTTATGATTGATTTGGCAGCTGGGGGGGTAACTTTTAAGATAAATCATTAATGCTTCCTACTTTAAAAAATCACATTGAATTCTTCTAGCTAAATCTCAAAATGTGACAATGTGGATTTTGAAAAAAGGCACGTACAATTTTGCTGTTCTGCAGTAATACTTCATAAGACAACCAATAAAAGAAAAAGTAGAGATGGAAAGTATTACTTTGAGCTGTTTTCTTGGGATTTTATTTTATTCCTATTTTGTTTGGGGGAGGAGGTACTTCTTCTGCCCCAAGTGGAACAGAAAGAATATCTGCTCGTGCTAATTACACATTGCTGGGGCTGGCCAGCTTAGCAGGATGTATTAAAACAAAGCACATAAGGAATCAAGGAAAGAATCTAAGTTCCACCAAAATATGGGAGCTAAGGATGATTACTAATAACAAGGCTCCATCTAAATCCATCCAAGGCACAAATAAGCTTCAAATAAAACCAGGGGTGGCTCTTGACAGGAAATTAAAGGATGTGGGATAGAAATGACTCATTTATAGCAGAAATGCTGTTGAATTCCAGCTGCAAGCTTGCATAGGACTTAACTGCAAGGGTTTAGAGAGCATGCAACCCATTGTGCTTTAAAAATCAAGTAGTGCAAGCAGACCTTTCAGCATTTATATTTGTAACATTTATATTTTAATGTTACATATATACTGTGATCTATAGCAGTTTAAATGCAAGATGCTTGTAAATGACACCAAGACAGACTGCTTCTTTATCCCTTTAAACAAAAAACTGACAGATTTTAATCCTAAGAAAGTGATTTACAGGTAGTTCTTTGGGGTAAAATGTGAAAGACAAATGGAAGGATACAAATGCAGAAAGATTTAGTGATGGTTTGCATTTGGAACGTTGTAATTGATAAATGTAATCCAATTTATTTATCTCTACAGGGTCAACTCCAAGTACCAAAAGCAGAATACTTGAGAATATTTATACAGGATGGTAATCGGGCGGTGGCAGTGCTAAGAAGAGTTGGCCAATGTTTCTTCATCCGTACACTCTGTTGCTTGCTGGTAGGTAGGAAGCCCTTTGGATGGAAGCAGAGGGGGCAGAGTGATATCATGGACTGAAGCAGAAAGTAGGGCGTCCAGATAACAAGGTCTACAGAGAGCAAAGATGGAGATATAGACAGTGAGGGATTTGGGGAAGAACTGTTCAAATTCATAGCAGTGCCATCCCACTAAACATGTATGGCAAGGAAAGCCAAGGGAGGCTTGCAAACATCATAACAATGTTCAGACATGCCCAGTGACAGAAACTTAAATAAAAGAAATAAGCACCCATTTCTGCAGGCCAGAGTCCCCCAAAATGGTTTCCCCAGATGAATTACCAACCATTGTCATCAGAAACACAAGCATGGCAGTAGGAGAAGGATAATGTAGGACATTGGAACTCCCTTTATGTATGTACGATGTCAAATAAAAAAATCTTAGTATGCATCTGTGATATATTGGAGTATGTGATATCTGTGTTTATGTATCATTCTGCATCTAGATTTACTAATAGGACATAATATAAAATTGTATTATTTTACTGAGCTACCATAGCTACATACAGGAAGAAATGAAAGCAACTGTATCAAGATCTTGACTCAGAGGGCCTGTTCTCCTATAGATCTGCATAGTATATTTAGTTAAGGTTGACCCCTACTAAGTACAAGTTGGGAGATGATTTAGATACTTCTCTTTTAGCTATACAACAAAGCAGGTTCATCCTTCCCATTAAAAATATGGCTTTAAATTTGTTATTTCCAATGAAAAGTTTTTATTATATAAAGTTTCAAGCTTCCAATGTTGTTTTCTAATCATACTGACATTCATATGTGGGGATAAAATGAACAAAGATTCCCAAGAAAAGATCCTAAAAGGGG